TTTCTTGATTGGATCATCTGAAGCTGGAAGACACACCCTAAATGTGGGTGTTACCTTCTGATGGCAGCCCATATAAAAGGCCGTGGCAGAGGAGAATGCCTGGCTTCTTGCTGAATGGGATTAGCTTCCTCAATGGGATTAGTTTCCTCAGGCAAGGGTCGGGAGGGTGGGTGTGCTGAGGGTGGGGAGACTAATTCATCAGGTGAATCAAATTCCTCAGAGCCTGAGGATTCAAAATCCTCAGCCTCAGGCTTCTCCCACACATCTCCATCCCATGTGTCAGGATTCCAATCTTTCCCTACCAATGCCCTCCCCTCACCTTTACTGCTGACACCCTTCGAGGCTGGGAATTAAATTTGTGTTGTAGGTCAGCCAAACTATAATAAGGGCTCCAGCTTGATTTTCTGCTTCCTGCTGGAGAGAAGATTCTCTTCCAGGGCATACTTGGAAACTTTTAAACTGTTGACTCGAATCTGGATCTTGTCAATTTTACCATTAAGCTCATTGTTTATCTTCATCATTTTATCCATACATGCTAGAAGTAACCAGCCAGACTCACTATTTTTCTAATTTTTCTAATTGTCAAATGTTTTATGTATAGAGCCACTAAATTCCTTGCTCTTCACAAGAGGTTGAGTTAGGAGATTCAAATGTGTTTATCTCCATAATTGTTTCAATTAGTCTACACCATGGATTTTCAGTGCTCTCCATGCTACCTGAAGACTGAGTTGGAAAGCCTGCTCCAGATACCGCCAATGAACATCTGACTTACGAGGATCATTTTGAGGCGTGTCCCCACAGAGGCACACCAACCTTTGCTAAGAGAGGGAGAGCACAGAGTGCTTTGAGAAGCCTGTTCAGGGCTAGTGAGATGACTCAGCAGGTAAAGGCACTTGCCAAGCAAGCCTGACGACCTGAGTTTGAGTCACAGAACTAATAAAAAGTAAAGGTGGAAGGAAAGAACTGTATCAGGGTTCTCCAAAGAAACAGAACCAGTAGAATGAACATATATATATATATATTATATGTACAGAGATTTATCAGCTTAACTCACAGGATAGAGTCCAAGTAGTCCAACAATGGCTGCACTACACTGGAGAGGCTGAGAATCTGTAGTTGCTCAGTCCATGAGGCTGGATGTCTCAGTAGTCCCAATCTGTTGCTGAAGGTCTGACGAATTCCAAAAGATCAGCTAGTCTTCAGTCTATAGCAGAGGAACTCACCAGCGAGAGAGAAGGCAAGCAGCAAGAACCCCAGAGTTTCTCCTCTGACATGGCCTTTTATATGGGCTGCCATCAGAAGGCAACACCCACATTTAGGGTGTGTCTTCCATTTTTCAGATGATCCAATCAAGAAGATCTCTCTCATTTCAGTTAATCCCAGATCTGGTGAAGTTGACACCCAGGATTAGCCATCACATGGTGGAAAGAGAGAACTAACAGAAATTATCCTCTGACCTCCAGATGTGCACACATACAGACAAAAATGAATAAATAAATATAATTTTTTTAAAAAGTTAAAAGTCGCAGCGGCACGTGGATCTCTGGGAGCTCAAGGCCAGCCTGGTGTACAAGAAAAGACTTAAAAAAAAAAAAGTTAAAAGTCAGAGTTGGAGAGATAACTCAGTGGTTAAGAGCACTGGCTGCTCTTGCAGAGGACCTGGGTTCGATTCCCAGCACCTACATGGTGACCACCAACCAATTGTAACTCTAGTTCCAGGGGCTCTGGTGCCCTTCTTCTGACTTCCTTTGGCATTGCACTACATGGATGCAGCTACCTACACACAGGCAATACACTCATACACATAAAAATTTTAAAAATAAACATTAAAAAAAGTTAAAAGCCTGGTGCTAGCCTGCCCTAGATGTCAGGACCCTGTTTCTTTTTTTCTTTTGCTTTTTTGAGGGGGTGTCCCTGTGCCTCTGCCTCCAAGTTCTGGAATTAAAGGTATATGCCACCATGCCCGGCAGGACCCTGTTTCTAATACACCTCCAGAGCAAACAAACAAAGGCTAGGTATGAGAACGTATAAAATTTATGCTTGGAGGTCTTTTAAGGAAGGTATAGGAAGGTCATTTCAGATTATGCCTAGAAATCAACTAGCACTGGCTCTGCTAGTTTTCCTTTGTCTGAACTGATTTTGTAAGAGTTTTGTTAATTGATTTTGTCTTTCCTTTTAGAGTATATTCCGTGTAGTATTCCATGACAGAAGGCTGCAGTATACTGAACATCAGCAGCTGGAGGGCTGGAGGTGGAACCGACCAGGAGATAGGATTCTTGACATAGGTGAGTTAAGAGACTCTTGCTTAGAAAATGTCTTTGATTTTTTGTGGAGAGCTGGTTTTCTCAACTTGACTTTTCCCATAATTCATTAGCATTAGAGGCTCGATTAGGGTGAATCTTGAAGTGGTTAACTGCTAAGCACAAAAGTCACTTGTCGGGGCTGGAGAGATGGATCAGAGGACCCGGCTCTTGCAGAGGACCCGGCTTCGAGTCCCAGCACCCCCATGGCGGCTACGAACTATCCTTAACTTCAGTTCCGGGGGAATTCGATACCCTCTTCTGGCCTCCGTGGCATTGCACGACACAGGTGCACTCACATACATGCAGGCAATATACTCCTACACATAAAATAAAAAAAATAATAATAATAAAAAAATGACCTGTCTGTTGACATCAGAATTGAAGTAGGAAATGATCCCTAAAGTTCCAAAGCATTGTATCCATTACTTCTGAGTGGTTTTGTTTTGAATTGTGATAACATGAAATATGTCTTAATGTATAACATAAAACTTATTTTCTCCATTTTAAATATGCAATTCAGTAATAAATGCATTTGCTTTGTCTATTTACTTTTTATTTCCATCTTTTTTCATCTTTCAAAACTGAAATCTATTAATAGTGGCTCTATTAAATAGTAGCTCTTCACTCCCTTTGCTCCCCAGCCTCTGTTAACCACTCTTCTGCTGTCACTGTAAATTAGACTACTATAGGTACCATATAGAATGAAAGCATACAGTAGTTGTCCTTTTGTGACTGGCTTTTAGTTAGCAGAATGACTTTCAAGGTTCATCCATATTGTAGCGTATGTCAGAATTTCTCTCCTCTTTAAAGGCTGAAAAAAATATTCCA